GTGAGAAATTATTGTGCTATTTCTGAAAACGATCTATCAGACAGTGGCTGTCTAAAATAAAATGATTACAAATTGTTTGACACTCTTTCTGTTGAGAGGTATGATCTGTGTCTCTGCCCCTGCAACTGTGCAAGCTAGTGCCCACTGTGACTACACAGAGTACAGCAGAAGTGGCATGCCATATGCTTTCCCAGACTACTTCAGGCTTCCTCCTCACCCTCTTAGAACACGGGTTGCCGGGATGTTACTTTCCTCTCCAAACCTAGTTATAATACTGTGAAACACCCAAACTTGTTGTACTCTAAGTTTGAGGTTGTAGGGGGCAGGGGTTGTCAGGCAGTACAGCAAGAATAACTGGAACATAGACCAATCACAGCATTTGCCTCACTTCATAATTAGCCGAATTTTTTTTTTTTCAAGCTGAACAAAGTCAGTACCAGGAGAAGTCTGACTACCAATAATTTTGTTTGCCTTTCTGGGATTTAGGAAAAGTATTTATTTAGAAGTATTTTTAAATGATTAGCACAGAATATTCAGACAAAATTTTCTTTTTTTTTGAGACGGAGTCTGGCTCTGTCGCCTGGGCTGAAGTGCAGTGGCCGGATCTCAGCTCACTGCAAGCTCCGCCTCCCGGGTTTATGCCATTCTCCTGACTCAGCCTCCCAAGTAGCTGGGACTACAGGCGCCCGCCACCTCGCCCGGCTAGTTTTTTTTTTTTTTTTTTGTATTTTTTAGTAGAGATGGGGTTTCAGTGTTAGCCAGGATGGTCTCGATCTCCTGACCTCGTGATCCGCCCGTCTCGGCCTCCCAAAGTGCTGGGATTACAGGCTTGAGCCATCGCGCCCAGCTCAGACAAAATTTTCTAATAAAGCAGAAGTTTTATTTCTCAAAAAAACTCTCAACTGTACATAATTACTTCTGTGATCATTAATTCATCCAACAAATATATATAAGGTGTTCAACACTATTTTTTTTTTTTTGAGACGGAGTCTTGCTCTGTCACCCAGGCTGGAGTGCAATGGTGCAATCTCGGCTCACTGCAACCTCCACCTCCCAAGTTCAAGTGATTCTCCTGCCTCAGCCTCTTGAGTGGCTGGTATTACAGGCACGTGCCGCCATGTACAGCTAATTTTTGTATTTTTAGTAGAGTCGGGTTTCACCATGTTGGTCAGGCTGGTCTTGAACTCCTGACCTCGTGATCTGCCCGCCTTGGCCTCCCAAAGTGCTGGGATTACAGGCGTTGAGCCATGGTACCCAGCCTATGTTCGACGCTATTTTAGTTGCTGGTCATTTAGTAATGAACCAGGCTAAGGCTCTGTCCTTACAGAGCATGTATTTGATGAAAGGCTAAAGACAACAAACAAATAACTATACTGAAAAAAGCAAATATTTATTGAGTGTTCACTATGTACCAGGCACTACTACAAGTGCTTTAGATACTAATACATAATCTACACCTCAAGACAACCTATGCAATTGGTCCTATAGTTATTCTCATTTCAAAATGAAGAAATGGAGGCACAGAGAATGAAGTAATTTGCTGTCTTTTGTTTAGACACTGGAAACCACATAATAAACCAACAAGAGTTGCAAAAGTAGGCTCATGGGTATGCCCCAAATAATGGACAAGGAAAAAAGAGCCTGCCTTTATATGCACTTACACACCTACTGTGTCAGGTATTACACTAGGCTCTTGACATGGTAATGTGAACAAGACATAGTTCGCTCAGGTATATGCACATCTGAAATAACAGTTTCTTCATAGCGTATATTTCTCTGTGCTATTCTTCTTTTAGAAGATAGAATCCCTGCAACTTGTACCATATGTTCTCCACTGTCTAAACTGCCACCAAATGCCTGTGATATTAATTTTTAACATTGGTTTCCAAAAGCTTCCAGTTCATAATACCAGATGTAACATCCCCAAATACAAAAACATAAATATTATCAGACCAACAAACCTTAACAAAGTAGAAGTATCATTTTACATTACCTAAACATTTGTATGTGTTTCTATATTTTATCTTCTCTATTGAAGCAAATGTTTTACCATCTTCTGTTTTAATACCTCTCTTAAAGACACTAACCTTAGGGATACGTAGTTTTCAAGTGAGTTCCAGACTTAATTTGTCTCTTTTACAAAAAGAGAGAGAAGTTACTGGGCTTTCTTTTCCTTTCCACTTCCTGGGTACACAATTGGCTCAAGGGATACTGTGCCTTTTTCAAGGTAAGAGTTTTTGCCAATGACAATCTATGCTTTCACTAGGCAGCTGCTAGAAAAGGAGGCAAAATATACTTCCTACAAAATGGCAAATTTTGTCTTCTTTTCTACGCTATAAGAAGCCAACTTTTAGCTTCTTTAGTTTGGAGAGAACACAAGATGGTGTATCCATTGCTTTAAACTCCCTTCTGCCAGAAGGCAGCAGCTCCCAATGACCACCTATGAGTCAGTTCTCTACACAAGATGAAATTTCCTGCTCTTACCGCTAATGTATTCCTTTTCTCTCCAAAGCAAAGGATACTCTTAAATACCAGGGTGTTCCCACTACCACAAATTTCAATATAATTTCACTGTGGGAACAAATGGTAACAAACACCATATGAAATCCATTCATGAAGATATATTAATCTTAATTGGAAAAGAACTGAGTGTTTAATATTTATTCTCCACGGATACTGCAAGAATCAGGGGACAAGACATTTGTGCTTAGAACTTAAACTTCAAAATTTAGAACCAAAGTTGTTTTCTTATCCTTATAATAAAGTTATCCTGAATTATTTTCCTAAAATCCTCAAGAGTAATATTGATTAAATCATTCCAAAATGTTCAGCTGTAAGTTCTGTAATGAAAACAATATTAAACCTACTCTCATTTTTAAAAAGTGTTTTATTAATTTTATAGCTAGAGTGAATTTGTCTTGTAAAAAGAAAGCACTAAAGACTCGAGTTATCATTCAGACTAAATACTAATCATTCCTTAAAATGGTGATCTTAAAACTGAGGCACACCACTAGCTGGATAGCTCTGATCAGCTGCCATATACTGTAAAAGGAGTTTTCCTAACAACTTTGGCAAGGGTTATAATCATTTACCTTTGGTTATATCATACATAGTTTGCATGGCTACTTTTATTCCCATATTTTGTGTATGAAATCATTTAACTTAAGTAGCACTATCCCATTCAACTTCAATTCATATTAAAACTTTCTCTTCAAGGCATTTCTCTAATAATTAAACATTCTTATAAATACGGACAATCCCAACACATGGCATACAAAAGTGTGTAGTTGGGCAAACTAAAATGGAAACTTTATTTATTTATTTTTGAGATGGGATCTCACTCTGTCACCCAGGTTGGAGCACAGTGGCTCAACCTCAGCCCACCGTAACCTCCGGCTCCCAGGCTCAAGTGATTTTCCTACCTCAACCTCCTGTGCTGGGACCACAGGCATACGCCATCACATCTGGCTAATTTTTTTGTATTTTTGGTAGAGACGGGGTTTCACATGTTGACCAGGCTGGTCTCAAACTGATGAGCTCAGGTGATCCCCCCGCCTCAGCCTCCCAAAGTGCTGGGATTACAGGCATGAGCCACTGCGCCCAGCCAGAAATTAAATTATTTAAGAACTACAGAATGATGGAAATGGGAAGAACCACGGAATTCATCCAATTCAATCCTATCATTTTAAAGGTGAGAAACCTCGAGCCCTAGATGGTTACTCTCTGAATCATGATTTAAAATTTTTTTTTATATCAGCTGCATAGTTTGACCAAATTAACTAAATAATAATTTTCAAAGGGCGTTCTTCTGCTAGGGCTAGTCAGGAAGATCTCAGTGGCATCTGAGAGTGCCAGGATTCTGGGCTACCCATCTCTTCTTCAACCAGATCAGGTCTCACTTCACCGGTACCATCTTTGGGGTTCAGCATAACATTTCCTTTGAAGACGAAATGCCACTGTTATAAGAAAAATAAATGTGCACACTTTGGATACTTCAGTCAACTCTTTTTTTTTTTCTTTCTTTTTTTAGGTCTAAACATAATTTTTTTCATTCTAACAATCCCAATAGCACCATGGGATGGTGAGGCAGGCAGGGGTAGGAAGAGGTTCAGTTCTATGGTCCTCAAAAAACCTAGAGGACTCAAGAGGATAACCAGACTGTGGCTGGGGTGCACAAAGCCCTGAGTCATCATCTTACATTTTCCAAACTAATCAACCAAGAGTCAAGAGGAGCAGGGACATCAGGGTTGTGCCGTGGGCACCACAGCTCCCAAGCACTGACAGCACTGTCATTTTTATAAGAGACACTGAAAACCCCGTGTGGCGCTCATATACCCACTTTAGAAAACTCTGCACCTACGCTAGTATGAGCAGACCTCATCTGACTGTTTTTCTTGTTGTTGTTGTTTTGTTTTTTTTACCTTTCACATAGAATATTTCACTTCCACAGTCAAAAATCATGTCTAAAGAAAGTTAAAAAAAACCTGTTTTACCTAACAAGTGTATCACATTCCAATCACTTAAATACACTGGAAGAGAAGCAACATTTCTCAAAGTAAGACTGAAGTACAGGTCTACTCCTTTTACTGAATAAATATTACTCCAAAAGTTATTAATTTAAAACCAATTATTTATATTTTGCTTTTTTATCATAAACATTTTGTTAAAGAAAATAACCCTTAGAGGATCTTTTTTCATACAGGATTCCCTTAAAGACCTACAGGATTTTAAAAAGACCTATAGAATATAGTAAGGCAAATATTTATTTAGCAAACTCCTAAAAAGTTTTTCCAAGGTAAAGATGTTAAGTGATCTTTAAAAATATTTATAAATTACATTATATTATAAAACAATCTGAAATGCAAAGCTTAAAGTTTAAAAATAAAGCAAGGAAACATATTCTTATGCCTCAAAGACACAAGTATCTAAACTATTCTACTATAAATACTTATGTTTTAGTATTCTGAACTTCTTTACAAGGACTCAAGAAAAATACTCACAGTTACTTATTACTCCTCCTAGCGGATCGCCTTTAAAGTCAAATTCAATATCCATATATTTGCCCTGCCAAAGAAAGATTTTGTGAATTTTCTAGTTCATCTCAAAATACTCACTCAGTGTACTGCTTAGAGAATAGTAGACTAAGCCTTTATTTTTCTACATTTGTTTAAATGTAACTAAGAAAGACACAGTTTATATAACCAAGATGCAAAACAACATGCCTCCATAAATAATTCATACTAAATACCCCGTTAGTTCAAAGCTAATATAACCCACTGCTAATTTAGGAACAAATCTTCTCAGCCACCATGTGACTTTTCCATTTCAGATTATCTTTCAAACTACTGGAGGATATGTACTCAATTCAAAAATAAAAACAGAAGAAAAAGAAGTCGTCTGTGTATATAGACTGGTTGGGAAGATAGTCTTTTTTTATTTGCAGAATATGTTTTAAGCCATTGCTAGGAACTTGAAACATATCAGTAAATGAAACGTTCAGAGATCTGTTTTTATAACGACTCAAATCAAATACAAGATTATGTGTTATGAACAGGTCAGAAGCACACTGATCATTATTCCTTTTTTTGGCTTTTCACCCAGATTATAATAGCAATATATAACACAGGGTTCATTTTACACTTTATAGACAGTATCTTTTTTTTTTTTTTTTTTTTTTCTGTCGCCCAGGCTGGAGTGCAGTGGCCGGATCTCAGCTCACTGCAAGCTCCGCCTCCCGGGTTTACGCCATTCTCCTGCCTCAGCCTCTGGAGTAGCTGGGACTACAGGCGCCCGCCACCTCGCCCGGCTTTTTTTTTTTTTTTTTTTTGTATTTTTTAGTAGAGACGGGGTTTCACCGTGTTCGGCAGGACGGTCTCGATCTCCTGACCTCGTGATCCGCCCGTATAGACAGTATCTTAAACACACAGACACACACACGGAGTTTAATATTCTGATTGTTAAAGAACTGGTCTATAATTGCCTAAAGAGTAACAAGTATAGCAGAGTAACTGTGACAGATGTTTCTTGTTTGGAAAAGTGTGTGTGGTTCTAATAAGTAAAGTCTTTAGTTTTGTTTCATATCCTAAGAATTACTTTAACTCATTAATTTTCAGATGAGGGTAAGGGAGAAGAAATACAATCACATGGAACTCAGTCAACAATGCAATTTGTGCCTTTGTATCAGCTTACGCATGCTCCTGTACCTTCTCTTTTTTCATCATCACAGGTCATCTACCCTTTTAGGTCTGCACTTATTCATAAGGATATGTCTGTCAACCACTTCTTTAAAGCTGAAGTAGGCACAAGCGAAAGCACGGCATGGCTCCTGCCTTCAAGGAGCTTACTGTCTAGTGGGGGAATTGAGACAGGTCAACCGGACACTCCAGTCTAGGAGGATATGTCCTACAGTGGGTCCTGGTGCTATGCCAAAGAAGCAGGAACAAAGGGAGAGTAGGAAATCTGCCCCACCTTAACTGCAAAGTATCAGCAGAAGTGAGGTGGGCAAGGAGGTGGGAGACCAGGAAGGAGTAGGCATTAAGAATTGGCAACCATGAGGATGAGTGGGAAACAAGGCTGGAGAGGGAAGTTGGAGCACATGATTACTTTGAGATATTCTCATCACAAAAAAGCCCTGTCCTTAAAGGCTCCTAAACAAGGATGTCATGATCAAACCTGCCTATTTACAAGATTTCCCTGGCTAGTATGGAATGAACAGGAAAGAAGCAAGAGTACATGTAGCTGACAGGAGGTGGCTACAGTGATTAGTGGAGAAATGTTGGTGGCTTTAAGTAGAAGTAGTCAAAGAGAAAAAGTAAACAGAATTGAGAGCTACCCGGAGAGTCACAGTAACAGGCCCAGGTTGGATGCAGGAGATGAGAGAGGATAACAAAAAAAATTCAGTCCTGTGGCCCAGGCCACTGAGTGGACAGGGAGGACCTCCAAGAAGGTGGGAGACCAAGGAGGCAAAGCAGCTACAAAGGAGGGGAAGAATGGTTACTCTGTCAAAGGAGTCAGAGGTTGACCACGTAAGAGGGGATCCTTTTGATAGAAGGTGGTCCCTGGCCACATGAGGCGACAGAATCTAGAGCCTAGGTAAAAGGAGCGTACATAGACATACGTATAGGCCAGGCACCAGGAAGCAGGATTAACTCAGTTTGAAGACCTGTATGATGACGATGGTGATTTCTGTGAAGTAGGCGTAACATCAAGAGCTGAGAGTAAAAAAATAGGAGGTTTGAGGAGAGTAGAATAAACACTGGAGAGAATGGAAAAGGATGCCAACCAGGGATAAACCAACTAGTGGCCAGCCCTGAGAATTCGGTTGATAGTGGAATGACATTCTTCCCACTAAGCCACTTCCTGATTACTCGCCAAAAGCTGGGTTCTGATCACGTTACTAGTCCACTCAGAAATAACTCATAGCTCAATTTGTCAAACTACAGCTGCTGTGGTGGGGAGGGGACCCTGTGAGGCATCTCCATGGGAACACTGGTTCAAAATGTGAGCTATGATGAGCAAGCATTAACTAGAACACGGCAGGGTCTATCAGACTACTCTGTGAAGAGGTCAAGGATTTCATTCCAGGTTAACTAGACCAACAAAGACTGGTTTGCAAGTCAAAGAAATTGCAATTTCCCCGGAGCACAAGTACATAAACCACTGTTATGTACAGTAGTAACTTTAAATACAGCAGAGTCCTGCTATAAAATTAAAACATAGGTATATTACTAGTCAAGTCACAGACCACAAAGCAAAGAAACTGCTAAAAACTGGGCATGAAATGATTTACCCTATAATCAGGTATTAATCTCATATCCTAATACCCATGTTATAATAGGATTTCTCTGAAGTTACTTAATAAACCAAATCACCTGCCAAGCCTTTCACTAGATTTCAAATATCACTAAGAAGTAACAGCCTTTTAAGTAACATGGGTTTCTACATTTTTATGGTCCATAGACTAAATATATTTGCAAATATTAAATACTGTGTGTGCATATAATTTGCAAACAGCAAAAATAAAATCTGCATCACATGAAGGAGCGTGATCATTAGAATTACTTCTATCGCCCACACTTCACTTCTAATTCTATTTATGTAATGAGATTAGCCATGTTACCACAACAGGAAAAGGCATGGATCAAATCAGTTATAACAACTTAAGGGGCTAATCTGACGGAAAAAATTCACAGCCTTGGAATTAGGAACCTTATTTAGCCTGCCGTTTTCTAAACCATCAAAACTATCTCCACCTGAGGTCACTGTCCTGCCTTAAGCACAAAATAACCTTAAGGAGGAAAGAGCTAAATGGGATCTAAAAGAAGAAGGTGGAGAAAGGTCAGGAAGGGTCTCAAGTAAGAAGGCATAAAAGATCATCAAAATTGTCCCTGATGGCAATCAGTAATGTATGTGAGAAGACGGTTCATAAAACAAACGATCTTTTATTATAAAAATGTATACATCAATTTCAAAACACCACCATCAGACTCAACATTTCCTGCAGCTGCATTCAGGCAGCTGTGTCTCTGTAAAGGGCAGAGGCACCAAAGAGCATGGCCCGGCTGGAGGAGCCCACTGCGTCAACATGCAAGGCACAGGCCAGGGAGTAGTGGGGGATGAAGCTGGGAAGATGGACCCTGTCTAGCATTTTCCAACTCAATTCAGCTCAAAACACCAAACAGATTTGGCTTTTATTATTCAGTTCTACTCTATAGCCCCACACTCACCCCACACGCTTGCATTTGTTGCCAAGCCTATAGACTTCACCTCTATTTAATTTTAAAATACATCCCATCCTTTCTGGACCCACTAAATAAGGGACAAGGGCTACGGTGCACCCTAACCCTAAACTTGAGACCCAGTTTACCTTTCTCTTAATTTCTGATTCTTGATTTCTAAATACCAAACTCAGATAAGTAAAGTGTTACTCTAAATAGCCTCATTTAAATTGCTTATGGGATTTTATGATAGAAGACGTCAAGAAAACACGATAAAAACAGCTTGTTACTCCAAAAAGAATTCAAAAGGAAAATTCCAGAAACCAAGAGTCCTTATAGAACTTTGAGTCTTAATAGAGATGATGTTCCTCTTATTTTAAAAATGTGTGTATCAAGAAATATTAAACATCTACTGGTTGTTTAAACATACATGAGCTAAATATTAGTGTTAACACTTATGCTTATACAAATACTTACAAATCTAGAGGAGTTGTCATTCCTTACAGTTTTGGCATTTCCAAAAGCTAGTAGGAAAGAAACAGACGTATGGTTAAAAAAATAATAATAATCTCAAGCAGAAAGATAAAGCAAATACAGCATTTGAAATCTATGAATTTCTGGGAAATACAACTTGTGGCAATGATATTTCTGTCCAAAACTTCCACAGAAATATACTTAACAGAAGTCTTAGTAAGTTGCTAAAGCTTCCATGTCTTACAAGTTCATAGAAAAAAAAAATCATTCCTATGATTCATGGAATTCAAGTATTACTGTAAACTTAACCTTATCTAATTCAACACCTTTTAACACTTTTACAGAGTAGTCAATTGAGTGACCAGGAAGCAAGGCTTCATGCTCTTCTAGGATTATCATCACTGAATAAGGTTATTTCAGAGATTACTTATCATTATCAAAGGCTTTATGGAACTTGAAGTTTCCAGATCATGGGGAAAGGCATGTGAACCTTTAAATTGTTTAATTAATTTTAAAATAAAGCTATTTAAATATTATTAATTATATAGCTCTGGAATATAGGAAGAGTAAGATATTTGGAAACAATAGCCATTTCTAATAGGCTAAAAGTGCTTTCATCAGTTTATGTATATCAGACCTAGGTGAAACTTTCCAAACAACGAAGAGAAACAATTTGGCCCATAATGCAAAATAACAAATGTTCCAATCTTAGCTGTTTCCTGGAGACAAATCCCTCACAAGACTCCCTTTTAAATGAGGGCATTTAAGAACCCCAAGCTGACGCTGCCCCAGGCACAGTGCTCCTGTTTAACACAGGGAACAGCACGGAGTCATAGAGTAAAAGGATTGTTTCACCAAGCCTGTGCACAAGATAGGAGCAAATTAACCTGAGCCATGGTAGTAGAAGATTAAGCAGCCTAAACGTAAGTCGTATAAGTAGAGGAGATCCCTGTTTGATGCTCTGGAAGCCCCGCCCTGCCCATCTTTACCATTTCAAACTTTAATGTGCAAACTAATGACATGAGGCTAAAGTGCAGACTCAGGTTCAATGGGTCTGGGAAGGGGCATGAGATCCTCCATTTCTACCAAGTCTCCCACCTGCCCGGTCTATTACTGGGATCCAGGGCCCACACGGCAGCTAGCATGATAATGTGGTGAACAGAAATAAACTTTTGGGGTCAGAGGCTACGCATCAAATCTCTGGAGGTCTCCATAACTTCTTCAAATTAAACAGGGAGCAGATTAGACTACTGAGTGTTCAAATGAGACCTGTGGGCTAAAATCTGGACTGACTTTTGAAAGCAGTCACCTGATCAAGGAGAGAGGGTGTATGTTTACATATGTTAACTCTGGTAATTTAGCAGCCACACCTGATGCACTGTATTTTATATGGGGTGGCTTTTTTGTGTTTTTGATTCTTAAAAAAATAGTTGCTCAAGCTCGGTTAAGACAACATTTACAAAGTCAACACAGGCAAAGTTCTTTGCCTTAGAGATGCTGCTTGGGCTGAATATGGTTTGGTAGGTCCCCGGCAGCAAATTCTGTCTTCAACAGAAGATGAGCTGAGATGCTATACAGAGTGAAGAAATCTGCACACTAAAAATATTCAAAAAAGGATGCTTGCTGGAGAGGTTCCCGTGCTCATCCCATATCCACCACCAGTTAAAAGGCTTTCATGAATGCAACCTTGATAATGGTGTGTATTGACCTAGTTATCATGAAGACTATGACATTTCTTGTGTTTTCACAGGCTAGTCTTTTGTGGTGGGTGTGAACATGCAGGGCTGCCAAGTTAGCTAACTTGCACAGCCCCAAATCCAACTAGAGATGTTGATGCATAAAGGACAGTTTATTGTGGCTTGAAGGTCAGGGGCAAGTGAAGGAATTGCTTCAAAGAAACTTTATTCAGGGTGCTATTTGCAAGCCATAAACCATCTTTTCATCAAACAAATCTGAGTTGCACATTACTAAACACAACCCTAAACACTAAAGTCTTTTATTGTGAGCCACAGAATAAAAAGCAAGTGTTCCATTATAGAACACTTGAGACACATTCCTCAATTGGCTTTTTTTAAGTTCATTGTTCTAAATGTTCATTTACAGTAGCAGCTCCAGCTAAAAAGTAAAGCATTCCCATAAAAGATAATGCATGCCCACAGTAGACATTTCTTTCATTTCCTGCACTGGAGCCTAGTTCCAAATACCACTGAATAAAGAGCCAGATTCTGGTCACAGATGCAGGCTACAGCAATCTTCAGCATTTCTCCTTTACATCACAGCATTCTTAAAATAAGCATATACAGAAATACAGCAAATGTATAGCACCCTAACTTAAAAGCAAAAGGCAATAAACAAAAAGCCAAATATTGGAACAATAAAGTTGAGAGATACCGCTTTCCATAATAGCTTTGTTATTAAGATACTGAAATGGAGGAAAGATCAAAAACAGCATAATAGATGATTTGCCTTATTTCTCTCTTATGCTACTCACTGGGGATACAGATGCATGGTGTGTCCTTGTAATGGTGAAACTGAAGCATGGGAAGTGTGTCTTGGGGTCACAGTGAATACTCACTGTTTGGGAGCCTCTATGAAAGGGCAGGAGAGGCTGAGCCTGAGTACAAACGACAACAGGGCAGGGTTTTAACCCTTCATACTGGGAAAAAGCAGTTCTGCTTTAATCCATGTTGAATCTCATCCTTCCATGACTTGGACCAAAAGATTCCACCAAACTACTTATCTAGGCTAGAGATTCTAATCGGGGTGGTTCTGACTCCCCAGGGGACATCTGACAATGTCTGGAGATACTTTCAACTGTAACAACTAGGGGCAGGGGTGCAACTGGCAGCTAACAGAGGTCAGAGGTGCACAGGACAGGCCATCCTACAATGCACAGGACATCCTCCCACAGCAACATGTAAGCAGTCCAACAGTGCTGAGGCTGAGAAACCTTACTCCACACCACAACAAATATGTGAAGTGACAGTAAAGACATGCTTACAAGATAAAGCATTTTTTTTTTGAGACAGTCTCCCTTTGTCGCTTACAATATAAAACAAGTTTGCTTGTTTTTTTTCTTTCTTTCTTTGAGAGACAGTCTTCCTCTGTTGCCCAGGCTGGAATGCAGTGGCGTGATCTCGGCTCACTGCAACCTCCGCCTCCCAGGCTCAAGCGATTCTCACATTTCAACCTCCCAAAGAGGTGGGATTACAGGCGTGTGCCACCACGCCCGGCTAAGTTTTATATTTTTAGTAGAGAAGGGGTTTCATCATGTTGGCAAGGCTAGTCTCGAACTCCTGGCCTCAAGTGATCCACCCACCTTGGCCTTCCAAAGAGCTGGGATTACAGGTACGAGCCACTGTGCCCAGCCATAAAGCAAGTTTAATGGCTTGCCATCAATAGGAAAGACTTTGATGTACTGTTTCTAATGCCAAGGTAGTTCACACTGATGTTGTATGCCATTCTCCCTGGCATTAAGGAAACTCGTTTCTGGTTTTGTTTTCTGATGATGTTATGGGCTGAATGCTTATCTCCCCACAAAATTCATATGCTGAAGCCCTAACCCTCAAAAAGCTAGCACTGGGACGGGGGGCTTGTGGGAAGGAATCAAGGTGAGCTGTGGTCCTGACGGGTGAGGCCCTCAGGATGGAACTGGTGGTCTTACGAGAAGAGATTCGAGAGAGCTTGCTCTCGTCTCTCCCGACTCAAGCACAATGAAAAGGTCACGTGAGCATACAGCAAGATGGCAGCCACATATAAGCCAAGAAAAGAGGCCTCGGAATAAAACCTTCCTGGACAGCAACTTGATCTTGAACTTCTAGCTTCTAGAGGTTTGAGAAAATAAGTTTCTGTTGTTTAAGCCACCCCGTCTGTGCACTTTGTTATGGCAGCCCAAGCTGACTAAGACAGAGAACTAAATAGAGAATTTGTGCACTCTCCAGTCAGGTTTAGACTTTCTATGGCCCTGGAAAAAATGGGTCCTTAAGTGTTTCTCTGGGTGAGCCCTCATTTCTCTAACAACAAAAACAATCAGCCACAGGTGTTATCCTGAATAAGAAAAGAGCACTGCACCATCACATGCAAATAATTGGTTGATTATTTTTAATCAAAATCTAAGTAATTCAAATAAAAATTGAGTGGGGAAGTGATTGTTAAGTGAGGAAGCTCATTTTACATTAGTAAACTATTCTGCTAAACACTTAGGCCAAGAGGTTCTAGAACACGGCTTATTTGCTCCTCAGGTCTTGGCCTGAATCTCTTCTTCCTTCCTCTTCCCTCCCAGAACACCTCCCAGTAGACCAGGTACTCAAAGCACCCGTATAACTGAATCTACTGTTCAAGTCACACCGACTGCATGCACATAACACATCCTACCTTCCAGGACAGGGTTGGACTGTAAAAGCTGTTCTTTAACTTGATTAACTTCTGCTCCTTTTCCACAAACAGCTGCCACATAGGACATGACAAGCTTGCTGGCCTCTGTGGATGAAAATAAACCATATTAATCAATAACACAGAAATTTAAAAAATCTTTTTGGGGAGGAGGAAATGTGGGGGAGAAGACCCAATAATGGCATTTTCAAATGTCTTTATTCCTAGAGAAGTAAATAATGTTTTGGAAACCTTTTAAATATTTGTGCTTTCTATTTAGTGACATGTCATTAATTCAGACATAATAAACACTGTGTTTAAAGTTTATCACTGGGCTGTTAAAAAACTGCTTAGTAACATGACCAACAAAATATCAGAATTATCTTCTTAAAGCAGTCATTTATATGCAATTACTATATTATACACTGATAAGCCAAAAATAACTTGGTAACCTGGGTATCTTTACCAAACGTATTTTTAAAGTTTAGAAGACTGCTCTTCTTCAAAGATATGTTCCAATTCATATGTTCCAAGTCATTTGCTCGGCCAGGTGCAGTGGCTCCCACCTGTAAACCCAGCAACTTTGGGAGGCTGAGGCAGGTGGATCATGAGGTCAGGAGTTTGAGACCAGTCTGACCAATATGTTAAAACCCCATCTCTTCTAAAATACAAAAATAAGCCGGGCATGGTGGTGCGCGCCTGTAGTCCCAGCTATTTGGGAGGCTGAGGCAGAAAGAGAGCTTGAACCCGAGAGGCGGAGGTTTCAGTGAGCCGAGATCGTGCCACTGCACTCCAGCCTTGGTGACAGAGACTCTGTCTCAAAAAAAAAAAAACACCAAAAACCAAAAAACTGGTTTGCTCATAATTAGACCAAATTCATAATTCTTCAACTTAATTCAAAAACTAAGCAGCCAATGTAAGGATTTAATAAGAAAAAAACACAGCCTTTTACAGGCATGGTAGTCTTAATAGGCTTCACTAGCAACCCTATTACAAAAGCTGCTAAAGAATAGGCCACAGGAGGCAAAGGATAAAACCACCTAAAATTTTTTTAGCTCAAACTGGGGAGGTGGACAAAACATGTCTTTGGTGGTTTTATCCTTTCCCTACCAGTCCGTGTCCCTCTCTCAGCATCTGCCTACTAGCTTCTGATTCTTTTAACACTGAATTCTAAGGAATGTTAATAGATATTTAAGGAAAATGAGGTCCACAGTGGATGTGGAGCCACAGCGAGTCAGATGCAGTGAAACCACTTTCTTTATCAAAAGGCTTCTCAGAGCTTTTAATATGATCGTGTACACTGGTGAACTCTAAAAAAGGATCTAGAATGCTCTGTTTCCCTAATTTATTTGCTATGGAATCTGTTTTCCATAGGGCTGTCCTAATTAGTTGTTCCATAACCAGGACCCAGAAAATGCTTGACTATTTTATGTTGGCAGAAGAAAACATATTCCCTGGTCTGGGTAGTTGAGGTAAGGAAACCAGTCTCTCCAAATCCTGCTTTGTCTCAAGTCTTTGCTTTACTGCCACTGTCAGTGGGCAGGTGAGCCTCCTCCAAGTTGGAGGAAGGGTCTCTCTGCCTACAGGTGTAATGAGGCAATCTTAACTGTCTCACAGGAGACTTGCAGATGGATTCCGGTCCCATCTCCCACCATTGGGAAAATAATACATGAACAACTGGAACGCCACTTTAAGCACGTTGCCCGACGTGTTCCTTAGGGCTTTTGCGCAACTTAAAACCATCAACCAATAGGAGCCACTGAAGACCAAGAATCTATGCACGTCACATAAAGCTCTCAAGTCCTAAGGTGTCTGTTTCTGGAGTACTGGCAAATGCATTTCCGTTTTTCAAGGGGGAAGGAAACAATCTCATGGAGCACAGAACTATGGTGGGACATTAGGTACGTCTTCAATGGTTGGAGGTAACTCTCTCCAATTTGCTTCCTGGGTAATGAAAAGGAATCCAAATAGGTTATCTGGTCATCCGTGTGGCTGATTTCTGCTGTCTCCCTTTAAAGACTGTAACTGAGAAACAACCATCTTTCCATCTCTGCAGTACCCTTCTTTCACAGGGCACTCACTGTCCACATAACACAACCTCCAACGCTTAAAGTTCCTCAACTACATTTTCCATTATTGTCATGGTTTAACTAGAAAAAAGTGGGTGCATTATACATAGATAATCCTATTAAACCATTCAGGCTGTCCTGAGCCATCACTTACAGACAAAGACTTTATATACTACCAGATTTCATTTCACTCCTGGGGGCCACATTGCCCTCTACCCTCCAGTCCGAAGTATAGCTCTTCTCTGCTCACTTCAGGATACTTTCTAGGCTCTCTTTCAATTCAGGTGAGGCTGTCCTCCTAGCAGATTCCTAACATCCGTTGCTATCTAGTCTCCAGCCCTGGGGCAGCTCTCTTCAATCACCCATGCATCCAACTCTGCAGTCTGGCCCTGGAAGCAATCCCCTCCAGGCCTGCTTTCTCATCTTTCTGCTTTCTCAGCTGCATTCTCTGTTCCCCATCCCCACCTGAACTCTCACATATATTATGTATATGCTTCTTTCTTGACATAAATTTCTGGCCTGTCTATCCATTGTAATACCAGGAGACTGAAAACATTTATCAGCAAAGTAACTGCCTTAGACAGTGGCAAACATACAAACATACTAACGCGCACACACACAAATACACAATCACACATTTTAAATGAAAAGTTTTCTTTTAGGTAAACTGACAAAAAATATATAAAGTTTAGGTCAGGCTCTTTTGTTTATTCTAGTAATTATAGACCTTACTGTGGCCAAACCTCAAAACCTCAAAATTCACATTCATGGCTACAACGAGTCCTCTGAAAACCTGTTCTGGTCCAGGATGAACTTAGAAGACAACTGCTTTAGCAGGGTGGTGGTGGTGGGGTAGGGGGTGGCGATCAGCCAACCAAGAATGAGAATCTTTTGGTGGCTACTAGAATTGATTTGACCTCTCAGAGACCTTTTTAATGGCCAGAACAAGATGGGATCAAGTTCTCTCAGGGTCAAATGTGTTTGAAAATGGCACCAGGAGCAGATCTCCTGGAATTTGGGTCAGGCTTACATCATTTGACTGTTAAAGTATATATAAACCCATAATATCTCCTGGCATATAAAGATGGATTAATTTAAACTGAAATTAAGAATCACTTTATGAACTTTAAAAACTATTTAAGCAATTCAAATAAAATTTTTAAATATAGTTTGAGGATAAAGTTCAAGTTGTTTAATAATTTATTTCCAAGTTGTTAAAAATATCTTCAGATTCTTAACCATTTTCAGGAATTGTACGACTGGGCTCATCTTAATAAGTCATTTTTGGAAGCTGGTATTAACAGTATTTTCTCCAGAAAAATCACACTATTTAAAAGAGACAACTCTTATAATTTTTTTTTTCCTGACATAATACTTGACCTTTAACTCAAGTAGTTCATTACACAGGCACTACTTTAGAGAAATTAATAAACCAGTAAGAATGAATTACAAGGTCCAACATACTTTAAGGAACTGTTTTCATAATATTTTACTACGCTGGAAACCGGAAATAACAGTTATCTCATGAGACTTTGTACTTCATTTCCTTTTGACTCTTTGGTGCTAAAGTTCAAATGAATTTGAATCTGTATTCAAATATTATATACTTACACAAATCAAATCTTTACATGATAAGCTCTATAACGAAAATCTATTTCTGAGAAGAATAAAAAATTGAGTATCATCCACCATATTTCAAAGTCTGGTTTTTGAATTATGTTGACTGTTAAATATAAGAATATTGCCATTTAAAATAGACAAAATGTAACAGTATTGTTTAGAATCAATTCTTGGTTCATCATTTTCTCTAACTCATAGATACTTTACATATGTAAACTTACGTACATATATATATTTTATATATATATGTTTGAATGTAACTTGAATCTTAAAATTCATCAACGACTGGACTAACAAAATATATGAAGTCTTTGGGGTCAAAATCTCTTCTCATCAGAAAATGGCCGAACATTTAGGGTTTAACACATATTCCTCACTAATGGACAAAGTGCCTGTTACAAAATACTTCTGGATCAGAGTATCTAGATCAGAATTAATTTCTACAAACAATGGAAAGGAAGTATAGATGACAGTTTAAATCTGTGAGGATTTTAAAGTCCTGTAAGGGTAAGAATAACTAATTGAATTCTGTATTCTCTGACACCTTGCACTGTACTGTGAATAATATGTATTATCATGTAATTATCACGTAACACAGAATCAGATACATTCATACATAATAATCTTTTTAATGAAAAAAAGCACTGTGAAGTAGTGGAAGGTGAATGAGAAAGGGAAAAGAATTCAAGGAAAGACAATTGTGATGATGATAAAAGGATGGGAATCTCACGCCTAAGATACCTAAACCTATGTATGTTAACGGAGCAGGCTCCACATGGATTCAATCACTGTGTCAGGGGAAAAAAGGCATGATAACAGGCAAGGCTTATTCTGCACTTTTTTCACAGAGCTTCTAATAAATTCATCCAGGAGTAACAGGTCTCTATGGATAAATTCATAGATACAGGCAATATCACATATGTCGCATATTGATCTACAGGTCATATGGCATATAGAGAGGGCCATACATTTATTCATATACATGTATTTATCTACTTCTTCACCCCTCCATTCCTCTAGTTAAGACACCAAAGTTTTTCTAGGAATTGAGCTTTTGTAGGTCTGGTGGTTCGGAGCCCTAAACCAGAGTTTAGGGCTAAAGAGTAAATGCCTAAATCAATGAGGCCACGTTTGTGTGCAACAAAACAAGCACTCTGCAGCTTGGAGAAGCCACCTTTTAGCAGTCCGGAGTCTGCTGTGCTGCAAAATAACCCAGCTCCTGCACATCCAAATGGATCTAACAGCAGTGAACTGTTCCAGAGTACTAAACGCATGGGCCCTGCAATGAGAGACGCAGTCTTTGCTATAAGGGAAGAAGTCACAACTGGTGATGTTTTTACTGAAACAAGCCTGTATGTCATCCTCTTCTGAAAGAGGGCCACAAAATCTCTGATAATTTATATAAAACACACAGATAGA